TTCTTACTTTTGCACACTATATATTTTTACTATCCTGCTCCTGGAGTAAATTCAAAATCCCATGTATGGAACTTTGGAGCTTGCAGAAAAAGGATTCAGTTACTGCAAGAGATCAGTCCTAATCAAATACCGACAACCATGTGAATTTCCCACAGTCCTAACGACAGGTGTGTCTTGACAATCTAATGTCTGAGAGAATCAAGTTTAAGATTTAAAAAAGTCCCCATGTTGAGAAGACAGAACCAGGAACTGTTTTGACTTAAGACAAATGCATGACCAGTGTGTGGTGTGTGATTGAGAAGCAGCTGGAGCTCTTCTTTCTCTATTTTTGGCCACAGGAAGTTGTGTGATGTGTCAAGAGGAAATTACACGAGTAAAAAAACTGGGATGTTTGTCTGTTCACTCAGTTCAGTTCAGTGCTCAGAATCACAGAGAAAGTGAACAGAGAAGATTCAGGAAACATGGACTGAAATGATTGACGTGCACTGATCACTTCCACTCCAGAACCCACTTTTAACTCAATATTTAATAATAATATTAATAATAATAATAATAATAATAATATAAAGTTTAAGCACAGTTCATACCTGATCACAGGAGTATTAACTGCCACTAGACTGCTATGCTTGAGTGTTCACACCTTGCAATAATGTATACCGCACATCGTCTTTGTGATCACGTCAGTTACCTGCTGTGTAGGCAGATACATATATGTGTGTATAAAAGGTGCTGTGTATATATATATATATATATATATATATATATATATATATATATATATATATATATGGCACTGTTTTTGGATGACAACCCAGTGACAAGGATGCCTGCAGTGCCAGCACAATGTTATGACATCACGCGCGCCGTTGAGTTTAGATTTATGAAAATGTTTAAATTTGCACTGTTCGAGTGTTGTCATTGTGTTAGAGAGAGTAAATGTCATGAATATATTTGACATTAAACATAATCCAAGTCGAAGTGTCACATCATTTTCAGCCCCCTTTTTGGCATCTTCATTTGGTAGCCGGCCAAATTGACAAAGACCATGCAGAATAATGTAGTATTTTAATTCTACAGCAGAGAAAGCTATAGTCTCTGTAAGTAGGTGTAGGGGGGAAAAAATGGTTATTGGATATCGGCCAAAAATCCAATATCATGCATCCCTAATCAAAATGCATTGATAACCAATGTTTCATTTCATTGCAGCCTCCCAATAACAATAAAATTGTGAAGTTCCTTAAGATTGCCAACTTTACATCTTTAGAATATTCCCTAACATGGTTGTTAAATTATTTTTCATCAGCCGTCTAAGAAAAATGTTTCTCAGACTTTTTTTTAATTTGACATCAAAACGAACAGGCCCAACAGTTTGGCTCAGGATGGATTACATCCATTCTACCAAACCCAACAGGTCCTCTGAACCGTTCTGAGAACATGTTTTCAATGTGCATCGAGGTGGTTCACACCCATACTTAGTAACACCTGACTGCAACCCAATAGCTAAAGACACATTGACAAAGTGGGTCTGAATAGGCTCGTAGTTTTCCTTCAGGAGGACTAGCCAAAAGATGCGATGTCTTGTCCAAAACCTTCTGGCCTGATACTTTTATGAGGAAGTTGTTTTTCCCAATCACAGAAGTCAGTCTTTGGCATTTTCCAACTGCTTAAGTCATTTATTCCTCCTCCCCGTATTTCTTTAAACGACCACAGCTGACCCTTTCCACCCTGTCTCTCTTATCAGCACTGAGCACACTCAGAGCAGCGAGCTTTCTGCGAGGACGCAAAGGTCCTTTCTCAACGCAACGCCTAGATGGCTTTTTATCTAGCCAGCAGCGTCTACAGCCTCCAGCCTGGCTTTGGAGCTGAATACATATTACAGCCTGCCGTCACAGGGGCTCCACAGTCACATCATCGTGGACCAGTCACTGCTCAGTCTGCTGGTGCTCCAGGCGAAGGGCAAACACAAGACGCGCATGAGGCTGTAATTAGAAAGCCAGAAGACATGAAACAGCTTGCACCCTTGATCAAAAATAGCAAGTGGCAAATTCTCTCCCTCTCCTGTCTGAATCTGATAAGGACAGCGTCTCTGCAACACAACAACAAACAACAGGTGCCTGCCATTCCTAAAAGAAATACGTATCGCCCACTGCCTTCCACGCCACACTTCTAAAATGATGATGTAACTCTTTTGGCCAATAATCTTTTGTAACATAGTGAGTAGTCACACTCACAGTGTGTGTTGTGAATGACTCTCAACTACTACCATATGGAAATTTCAGCAGAACATCTGTAAACTGAGTTATAGATAATTTAGTGTTGACTAATGAAGATGAGCTGTGATGTCATCTTGAATTAACTCTAATTATAGATATATGTCCAATGATTATTTTTTGAAGGTTTCATGTCAAAATGTAAAAATCTCTCCAGTGGCTCATGAGATATTTTGCTAACAAACAAGCAAACAGGTTTTATTCTAGTTATTCATCCATCCATCCGTTATCTTTACCTTCTTTTTCCTTTTTGGGTCACCGGGGTCGCCGGTGCCCATGTCCACCTATCCCTGTGTGAGAGGCAGGGACACCCTGGACAGGTCTCCAATCCATCACAGGGACACATAGAGACTAGGAATGTGCAATATATACAGTACACGGTAGAAACGATAGCCATTTAGCCTATGATAGAGATCTGTCTTAAACCGGATAACCACAGTAATGCTGAGTCTGATGTAAAATCAAAGTTGTCAGATTTAATTGTTACTTTTTAAGTGAAAATTGTGAGTAAGTGGTGTAAAAGTCTTTTCTTCAAGAGCTAAGTAGCGACGCTACAAGCTAACTATGGCCGGTTTGCCGTAGTGTTGCCGTATTTGGACGCATGCGCAAAATGCTGTGTTCCGTCGAAAGGTTTTTTTTTTTTAATTTCCGTCGAAAGTTAAAGTAAGCGTTGGTCAGCTTTAAAGAAACCTGCTCTCTGATCTGTGAAGAGAATGCTGTGCTGTGTGATTTTACTGCAAGACCCTCTGGTCAGAGCCACAGAGGAAACTGATCGCCATTTTGTGTCAGCTCTCCTTAAAGTGGAAGGAGTCGCCCACTAGAGGGTTGGAGGTGAAGTGTTTCAGTGTAAAATGCTGCTCTGTTGCTGTTCATTTCTTAAGTGAGAAGACTGGGAACTGTTAAGAGTTAACATATTATTTTGTTTAAAACATAAATCTAAAACTACATTCGATATATGTTGCACTGTTTTGCACTACAAGAAAGAAGCCTAATACTGGATGTTTATTATTTAAAAACTCTCTGGACCTAGTAGTAAAATTTTCTTAACTGAGATTATTTTGTGGTATAGCAGTTTTCAAAATAAATGATGGCAAAAGGACACCCTATGCTTTTTTTCATTCCTATTGCAAGTTTTATACCAAAAACATATTGTGATATATATCGTTATCGCCACCCTTCACAATACATATCGTGATATGAATTTTATGCCATATCACACATCCCTAATAGAGACAAACGAGACAAACAACCATTCACTCTCTCACTCACACCAATGGACAATTTAGTGTCACCAATCAGCCTAACAAGCATGTTTTTAGTCTGTGGGAGGAAACTGGAGAACCTGGAGAAAACCCACACATGCACGGAGAGAACATGCAAACTCCACCCAGCAAGGCCCCGGGCCGGGATTTGAACCGGCGACCTTTTTGCTGAGAGGCAACAGTTCTACCAACTGATCTACCGTGCCCTCCTGTGTCTAGTTATTGCTAAAGTTTTACCAAAACGTGCTGCATGTGATAAATAGACCCTCAGCTACTACCACACCAAGCGTTAGCACAACATCCATATAACAGTGAATTACAGGCATTTGTGTTTAGTTGGCTGCGGTGGCCATCTTGTATTGGCTCTGAAAGTTAATCTGTTATAGGTACACTGATTATTGTCTGGAAGGTCAGTACAATCTGTCAAGTTGTTGCCACACCAAATTTTCAGTCAACATCTGTGAAAACGACAGTGTCTTTTCTGTGTTATTTAAGATCAATTGGTTGTGGTCGCCATCTTGGATTGCGTTGACTCTAAAAGTCAGTCAGTTATATGTGCATCCAATAATTAGTTTCTGAGAGTTTCATTAAAATCCGCCAAGTGGTTCATGAGATATTTTGCTAACGGACAGATAAGCAAAGACATCATCACCTTCTTTTGACTTTCAAACAGTGGTGTAGTCTATGTAATAATGGAGGTATACAGCGTATACCCACTTGATGCATGACATCATTAGTCACGTGTCACTGATACGTTAAACTGCAGTTAAACACTTCTGTAACAATCTGTCTATATGCAGCGCTTGTTTATTACATTCACTTATCCAGTGAATTATTGTATAATTCTGTACTTACGTTTAATACTTGAACATGTTTTGCTTTGATACTGTTTTATAAATTCTATAACATGATTTTAATACAAAGCCAACTGTTGTACAAAGTTTGTTGTACATTTATTCAAATATAAGCATCAGAGAACTGTGGAAATACTCAATATGCTTCAAAATCAAAATAAATTGATGCTTGCATTGTACTAACCGGTGTACTTTGGTTTCTAAGCACAGCACACCCACTACACAAATGTAGACTACACCACTGGTTTCAAAGCTTTTCTCTCACACATCTGGACAGTTCTGTCAGGTTTAAACAAGATCCTTGAACATGATTCCTTCCCTGCAGTTCAGACATGAGTCTCTTCATGAATTCCTGCTTCAGGTTCACCTTCACTTTTATTAAACCGTTAGAGCAGTGAGAAGATGGCCTCCTGTCAACATCTGGGTTAAATGATGAGGAAACGTGAGGCCAGATGTTGATGACGGGTTAGTGTCCTCTAAACATGGCCAACCTTTAAGCCTCATATCTGAGCAGCACAGACAGTGAGAAATTATTTAACAGAAGGAAAAGTAAACGACCTCGTGTGCTCTTCTGAACTTTCAGGAAAGAAGAGATTCAGAAAGTGTCCTCTCACCTTCTGGCGCTCACGCTGCCTCTTCTTCTTTCTCTTCCGACCTCAGCGGGTGCTTTTCTCGCCAACTTGGCTTCAGTTTCCAGGTGGGAGGAGGGCGACCAGGAGGACTCGCTGTCCTCCTCCAGCCCTCGAGCCCCTCCAACTTCTCTGGGCAGCAGCGGCTCGTCCGCGCCGTTGCCCCCCAAAAAGTACAAAAGTAGAAAAACTCCGAAACCCGCGGCGACCGCAACTACTTTGCAGTGGATCCGCATGGCGGTGAGAGCGACTTGTTGCGGCTGGAGAGGCGGTCGGGGCTCCGCTCATGTCTGCGGCGGCGGAGGGAGAGCGGCCCGGGCTGACATTTTGTCACCGCTCCCCGCTCGCATGTTTCTGCAGACGACGATGGAGAGAAGCGGAGACCGAGACAGAGAACTGCTTCTCCCGGTCCCCGGAGGGCAACCCTGAGGAGGCGTGGCCTCTTCTGCCTTACCGTAATGCTCGCAGTTACACCGCAACGATTTTTACTGTTCCCTCATTTCACAACTTCACAACATTCATTCATTCAACCTTTGTTTATACAACTTACTCCCATTGAGCCTGGGGAACTCATTTACAAGAGAGACCTGATTTTAACAAAGAGTGATGACAACAGCAGACAGTCATAAAAGAAAGCAAATAAACTGAGAAGAACAGGGCCGGATTAGCAACCCCTGGGGTCCCTGGGCTCTGAAGTTTACAGGATCTAACTTGACACCAATTTGATTATA